TATATATATATATATATATATATATATATATATATATATATATATATATATATATATATATATATATATATATATATATATTGGTAAACAATGCATCTGAACCGTTAGTTGTCGAATTTGAGAATGAAGTAGCACAAAACGAGTTGCTGGCTGCAGCAAGGGAACTGTCAACTATTGAGGCCAAAAAAGTATAAATACGGCCTGATCGCACTCCTGACGAACAGGCTGAATTTGCACAATTAAATAAAGAAAGAAAGGAGGCGAACGAGGACTTGCAACGCAATAATAACCTAGACCAGCCCTTTCGATTTGTCATTAGTAGCGGAAAATTACTGTGCATCAACGTCACTACAACAAAAGACATTGGCAACCACAAAGTTCACCCATTTGTCAAAGAGAGCGTTGCTAAGCAGGCCCGGAGAGGCTCATATCAACCAATCTTATAAATCTTACCAAAACCCGAGTAATGTAAAACTTCCTATTTATTTAAAGCAAAATATTAGTACTAACTATAAACCAATTAAATTTTATTATACTAGTGCTACCTCCTGTAACTCTAATAAATTATCTGAGCTGTCCACGTTTGCTTTGACATATGAAATTGATGTTATTGCAATTGCAGAAACTTGGTTTAAATTGGATTTGATTAAAATAATTGATGGCTATGAACTGTATCAGGCAGATAGAAATAGAATTGGAGAAGGTGTTGCCATTTATGTAGATAAAAGACTTACAAATATAGAAATTGTAAATGTGCATCTTAAAAACAAAGAGATCGAACAAGTCTGGTGCTCAATAAATTGTTATAATTTTCATTTAATTGTTGGTTGTGTATATAGACCACCAAACTCTACAGCTGATTACTCAAAATTGATTCTAGACTCAATCAGAACCGCTTTAAAACTCAAAAGTGGAAAAAAAATACACTGATCTCATAGTGGTCGGAGATTTCAATTTTCCTAATATAGAATGGACAGATGATGGTCCAATAATTCATTCAAATGGAAACTCAATTGAACATAAATTTATTAAAGTTTTAAATGATTGGTCTCTATACCAAATAGTAAATTTTCCAACATTCAAACAAAATGACTCTGTTTTAGCAGTTAACACCCTTGATCTTGTTTTAGTTTGCAATCCAACTTGCATGGATTTTCTTCAATGTGGTCCACAGTTAGGCCACGATGAAAAGGAAAGATACCATTACTCCATCACTTGGCAATATTTTACTAGTCTTAGTAACAATACAGTACTCACAAAAGATAAGTTTTGCTTTAAAAAAGGTAATTTTTTTCAAATGAATAAATACTTGAAACAAGTCAACTGGGTTGAGCATTTTTATAACATATAGGCCTGTGAATGCTATGAGTTATTTTTGCATACATGAATGAATGCATGAATTTTGCATACATGAATGAATGAACCTTGTCGATTGTTTATTCCTTTTATTTGAATAATAAAAAAAAGAATAGTCAACCCAGTTTGAATGCAAAAGTTATATAAGCAATAAAGATTAAGCATTCTATGTTTTATTCAAATTTGCATTTGCGAAGTTAAGAATCTCGAAAGGCTTTTAACAAAATGTGTGCTAATGTTAAAAAGCAAATCAAAAGATCAACCCGAGAATACAAAATGGATTTAGTTAAGAGAGGAAAGCTTGCACCAAAACTTTTATTTTCATACGTGAATAGAAAACAAAACATTTAAACGCAAATTAGAGCAATAAAGAACAAAAAAGATCAAGTTATAACTGAGATATCAGACATTTCAGATATATTAAATAGGCAATTTCAGTCAGTCTTTGTTAATGATAATGACCAACCAATACCCAAATTCTTGCAAAGATGCAAAAACCAGTGCGATTGCAGTAAATTATCTAATATGATTACCTATAAAAAAATTATCAAAATGTTAGAAGGTATAGATGAGTCAAAAGCGATGGGTTTTGATGAAATTAGTCCGTTTGTTTTAAAGCATGCTGCAGAAGGTTTTGTGGACCCAATTGTTCATATTTTCAAATTAAGCTTTTACACTGGATGTGTCTCTTACCACTGGTCTGTTACAAATATATCACCAATTTACAAAGGGGGACCAAAACTTGAACCAGAAAACTACAGACCAGTATCCCTAACATCTGTGATTTGTAAAATGTTCGAAAAGCTCATTCGGAACACAATTTGGCAACATTTAGTTTCAAATAGGCTTATATCTGAGGAGCAAACTGGTTTTATTCCAAACAAATCATGCACAACAAATCTTATTGAGACAATTGACACAATTACATTTGAAACTGCAAAAGGTAAACCGTTATGCGTCATATATCTTGACTTCGCAAAGGCTTTTGATAAAGTAGAACACAAAAGATTATTGACAAAGATTAAAGCGTATGGTATAACTGGTAAAATATATAACTGGATTGAAAGTTTTCTTGCAAAAAGAAAACAAATAGTTGCTATTATTAATACAGTTTCAGAATGGGTATCAGTTACCAGAGGCGTGCCTCAGGGTTCCGTTTTGGGTCCAATGTTGTTTCTGCTATTCATAAATGACCTCCCAGAAGTTGTGCTAAACAAATTTAAAATGTATGCTGATGTTAGCAAAATAATAGCCATAGAAGATTCCATTGATAAACAAGCGGAAACGCAAACCGACCTTGATAACATTGTGAAATGGTGCAACAATTGGGGTATGGAACTAAACTGCAAAAAATGTAAGGTGATGAGATTCGGCAATCAGAAAGTTTTTCGAGGTATTGATAAAACATACACAATGAATATAAATGGAATGATTTATGACCTCTCAAACAGTGTATTAGAAAGAGATGTAGGTGTCTTTGTACAACCGGATATGAGGTGGAAGCATCAAACGCAAGTATGTGTTAACAAAGCTTCAAAAATACTGGGGTTATTGAAAAATGCCTTCAAAACTAGAGATTGCTGTATGTTGAAAATTTTGTATACTACTTATGTGCAACCTCATCTTGAATTTGCGGCTGCAGCGTGGAGTCCTCCTAATATGGCCGAAATCTCTATGCTTGAAAGAGTTCAACGTAGGGCCACAAAAATACCATACTCAAACCGAATGCTAAGTTATGAGAAAAGGCTAGCTAAAATGGATTTAATTAATCTAAATCTCAGAAGAAAACGAGAAGACCTTATTCATTTATATAAGAATTTGTCAATCTTAATGTCAAACCAGTCTATAAGTCAAGCATTAAATTAGATGGCCCATGTTCTTTTATTAGAGGTCTCAAACATAAGTGTTTTACTCCTCGCGAAAAAAATCACTTTCAAGCATCGCACAGTGGGCCAGGTATATGGGAAGTGGTGGACAAAACCTAATTATTACCCAATTGAAACAAACCCATTTAGATATATAATTAATCATTATATATGAAATAATATTTATTTTTAACAAAAATATTTTAATTTTTAATAAAAAAAAAGGCATTTAATAGGCTTAGGTAGTAAAAAAATATTTTTTTCAATATCAACCTTTTTTAAAAGTCAAACAACAAATTGTGTTTAGCTACAAAGAAAAAGAAGAAGGTGGAGCTGATTCCCTCAGCAAAGCCAAAACTTCACTAGGGTATTTTTTTAAACTCTTACCATTTTTTTTATGACACTTTCTTAATGATTTTATGACAGGATCACTAGATACAAGTAGCCTGTTAACTAGGTTACAATTTGTGTCAATTCTGGATGTCTTTCTACAGAAATCTTCCCTAAACTTTTTAAAATCCTTGTTATAGGCCTCTTGGGCCTCCTCTGACATCAGTCCAATTGGCAAGTACTGTCTAGCAATGATGGCATGGCCATGAACTAAAATTTTGTGTACTGATTGTGCCATGTAATACCAGGAATACTTAGATATGTAAAGTTTAAGACCAGTAATACAAAACTCTTTAAATTTGACAGTGTCAATTTCAAATCCAGATGATAAAGTGACTAGTATGATGTAAAAATAAAATAAAAGAGTTTCATCTACTTTCAAGATTTTGGCAGTTGATTGATAGTTTGCAAAGACTCTTCGGGCAGTGTTACCATCATTACTGGTACCTACAAATTGTATATATGTGATAGTTAACCTGATGATTTATATAAAAGTATTTATGTAATTTCACTTACCAGATCCTCCACTTTTTGGGAAATCCACAACTAGTCTCATTTGGTTCATAAATTCTGTCTGTATACGTTTCTTCACTTGCATAACATTTATCTTCTATAGCTCTAGACTGCCACTTTTGAGTTTCTAGTTTATATCCAATGTGCAATACCATCTCAAAAAACCTAATCCAGGCATGCAGGCTAGAAAGACCATATTTCAATTCTAAATTATTAGAAGTGTCCAATTTCAGCATCATTTCTAAGTTATTCATGTTTTTTGGAGACACACCACACACAGAGCAACATTTTGCAATCAATCATGGTCAGTTCAATAATACTTTTGACAACCAGTTCCTTTCCATTAAAAGTAAAATTAAAAACACCACATTTTTTGATTTCAGATTCTAAATATTTTGCTTCTTCTATAACAACTGCTTTGCTTTCATTTTGAAAAGAAAATATTATTGGACGACAATATGCAGTAGATGATGGCTTTTCATTTCGCCATTATAGTACTTTTTTGTTATTACAGAACCCACTGAGTTCTAGTGGTGCTAAGCAGGTAATGAACAGAGATTCTTCTTTTTTTAAGTTACGATCTCCAGCTTTCTCACTACTAATTTGCTTGTACATGCTTTGCCCAGTAGCCCCATCAAACCCAGCCTTGCAACGCAAAGTCAACCGGGTCAAACCATCTAGCATTGTGCTGATCACAGGAGCTTGCACCTTACAAAGTCTTTTTACTGTATGTTTTCATAATTCTTGTAGTGGTATATGTGCTGAATAATCATCAACAAAGATGTTCTCTAGATAGCACTTAGCTTTGGACAATCTTATGTTGTTGTATGAAAAATATATATGGCAGTCACGTTCTTCAGCTCCATTTCTCATTAGTTAATAGGTTGATTTTGACATGCCACCATCAATAGTTAATGCCAGACCTTCACTAGGTGTATACTTTTTAAATTGACTAGAAGGTTCTGATATCTCAGCAACTTGCTTGGCAGCCTCATAATTATACTCATTTCTTAATTTAAGCCTTGCTGAGTGGAGCAACTCATCACTAAAAAAATTATTTATAATATCATTAAGTCTTCTCCTTTTGGTTTCGTCAGAAGTATCTTTAAAGGAACAACTTGGTCTTCCACCAATCTTATGTAATTGACTAGAATTATCAGGCTTAGATATATTATTACTGTATGTAGATTTAAAGTCCAGAGTCAACGAATTTTTATTTTTACTCTCAAACTTTATGTTTCCTCGGTTTGCATCCTTCCATTTCTTTTGATAAACTTTTAAAAATGCAGCACACCCAGTAGAACCCAAATTCATAGAGACTAAAATAGCTTCTACAGACAAAGAAAATGATTTATCACTCGGATTTAGTTGGTCATGCCGTATACGGTTATGGACATCACTTATCTTCATATCAACTACAAAAAAATTAATTTAAAATTATTAGTGCAACCACTTATAAACTAATATAACATGAATATGGCCATTATTTTTACTTCAGATATATTTAATTAGACCAGTACAATAAGCACAACACCTAATAATGACAACAAACCAAAAAGTAGGTTTATCGCGAATAGCATTTTACAACAATATATTTTTTTTAAATGTTTACCAAACCTAAAGGGGCAGCTATGAGCGGAATAAAACAGCATCAACAGGCTGTACATATATTGTATTAACTTATTCTAACATTAATATTCTGTTCCAGCAGGTTCTAAACTATATGAGCCACTTTTAACATAATATTTTTATACTATAAACAAGAATCTTACCTTTATATTTCAAAATAAAACTGTGACTTTAATACAAGACCTTGGAATTTGTTATGGTATTTTTTGAAAAGCTATCAAATTAAATTTTAATGATATGTCAATTAATTTCGCATATGTTAAATAATTTAAAAGTTATTTGTTGTTATAGTTATGTTGTTATGGTATATTAAAAAAAAAAAAAAAAAATTAATTAATCATTATATTCAATTGTAAATAATAATTGTACATTTATGATGTACAATCAAACTACAAATAATGTTTTAAACCATACATTATGCTCTTATAAATATAATGTACTAAGTAGTTGGAAGTATTTCGAAATTTTTTTTTCGAGGTTTTGTCTACCACTTGGCCCACTGTGCATCGGTTAGCTCCAGAATCCATTTCTTCACAAACAGAGTTTGCCAAATTTGGAACAAACTTCCGGAAAAAGTTGTAGATTCCGAGAATTTGAATAATTTTAAAGCAAGTTTAGACGAATGGCTTATAAAAAATAAGAAAATATTAATTTCAAAAAAAAAGAAAAAAAAAAAAGTACTGGGCTGCTATAGCTGAACGTTACAACGTCTCAGCTTGTGGATAAGATCCACGCAGTTTACCACTAACTAACTAACTAACTATATATATATATATATATATATATATATATATATATATATATATATATATATATATATATATATATATATATATATATATATATATATATATATATATGTATATATACATATAAAGTAATAATAATTTCTCTATATAAAATTTATTGAAAAAAATAAGATTATATTTTTAATGTAATTGTTTTCTCCTTAATTATCCTTACTTATTCTTTCAAAAAAATGTTGTTTGCCACCAAATCTCCTTAAATATAGGAAAATATCTCCTTAAATCTCCTTATGTATTACCTCAATGTTGAAAAATACTATAAACTGATATAAGTAAAATGTAGTAAAAAATAAATAAGAATAATAAACAATAGTCAAGGAAAGTCATTAGTTATTGTGCTACTAATTTGTTATTAGAGTCGAGCGTAAATGTGATGTATAGATAGAATTGGTAATGGAGTAGAATTATTCGTTTTATAAGTAGCCATATGGTTTGTATTATTAGGGTGATAAACATATATTATAGATACAAGTGTCATGAACGTCTCGAGTACAGTATGGATATGTGCCTTATGGTGCAGTATGAACAATTAAAGACCTCCAGCTTTCATCCGAGACTGGTATCTCAAAATATGTTCGACTCTAGGTCTACACCAGGGTATCTTTTTAAGGTATTCTATTGTGTTATCCCAAAAGGACTATTCTCAGAGTATCCAGTCAGAACGATTGCCACAGACTTCTGAATTGACACTGAGACTAGAGGACACTTAGTGGTTTTCAGTACAACTTACAAACAATATTTAGTAATTGTTTGACATGTGCAGTGGTTTGTCACAGTATAACTTACAAACAATATTAAGTAATTGTTTAAACTTAAAATTACAAACAAATTGTTTAAAATTAAACTTACAAACAATATTAAGTAATTGTTTGACATGTGCAATTGTTTGACAAGTGCAGTGGTTTGTCACAGTATAACTTGGGTCAATGAGAGTTATGAAATGTTTTAAGTTCTTATAGTTATGTGTGTAAAGCATAAGTCATGTGACTGTAATGTTACGAGAAGAATCTTAAGTGGAGTAGAATTATTCGTTTTATAAAACTTTTGGCAGATGCCTTTAGTTAATTAACAAACTGTATGTGTAGCATGACCTATTTTTTGTTTAATAATATTCACTATTAATAATTCTATTATTACATTTATAATAATAACTGTAATGTTACGAGAAGTATCTTGAGTGGAGTAGAATTATTCGTTTTATAAAACTTTTGGCAGATAGCCATTAGTTAATTAACAAACTGTGTGTGTAGCATGGCCTATTTTTTGTTTAATAATATTCATAATGACTTGTGTCTTAAGTCTTTTTAAACGATTTATGTAACAGAATTAAAGTAAAATTAATCGCTTTTTAAGTAGTTATCAGATGATGTATGTAACAGAGGTTGAGTAGAGTTATTCGTTTTTTAAGTAGTTATCAGATGGTGTATGAAAGAGAGCTGGAGTAGAATTATTCGTTTTTTAAGTAGATATCAGATGGTAAAGATATTATTATAATAACACTGACAGGGAGTAAGAGTAATTTGTATAGAATAATCAAAATTTTATAACATGTATGGTGACAGTAGAAATCAGTAATTGTAATGGTTATGGTTAGCTGAACTGTTAGTATTTGGTTTGACTTATGAATAGCAGTGCTAATATTTGGAGTTGCATGATTTGTTTCATAAATATTTTGTTTCATAAATATTTCATAAAGATTAAACATTTATTGCATAAATAGACCATTTTTAAACTTCATCAGTTTTTTATAGTATATATATATATATATATAGAAAAATATAATTGTTCGTTCTATCTGGAAGATTTTAGAAACTGGATGTATCTTATAAGATTTCCGATGGTTGTCTGCTGGTTTATTGGAAGCTCATTGTTTGTGTACTTTAGGAGAAACAGCACCCTCCTTGGATTCGATGAGTTGTTAAAGTACTTAAAATTGTTTTATTTTCATCGTTCGGTAGCGTAACTTCAGGCCAAGTTAATCGAATTAAATATATATGATTGCCCCCTGACTAACTTAAAAGAAACTATTTTTAAAAACTATTCTTTAAATGTTTTAAATAATTTTTAAATAATTTTTGATATGGCGTGCATTTCTTTACAATCTATAAGGTATTTGCTTGAAAATGGATTTATTGAAAATTTACTCAGAATTTTCAGTAAAGATTAATCTCCTTCATAAGTCAGATTTTTTATAAGATGTTGACTGTTAATAAGTCAATAAAGAGAAATATTTCTGTTGAGCTTGAGTTTCTTTTGAGTCTTTCTGTTGAGTTCAAGAATTGCGCTCAGGAATGCCAGTCAAGAACAACTATGGCGGTGAAGTAAGATTTACTTTATTTATCCCAGCAAGTAAAATAAAAAGTTAAATTTAAAATTTGAAAACATATAATCCCTGCTTTCGTTCATTTGGGGATGTAAATTTATATAGTAATAATATTATGAAATATATTTTTTGCCTTGATCTAATTGGTTCAACTTTTTACCAAACTGATTTATTGTAAATAAATGATTAAATCCAATTTTATTCTCCATTGAGCTTATTGTAGAACTTTTTTCACTTCAAAAATTTTTAATTGCCTTTTTTACAGATCTGAATCAACTGACAATTGCTTATTTAGTTCATTTTTGATTTACCTGTGTGGTGATAATAATCTGGCAATGGATTTAAGAATACTGACAACAATTGATTTATATTTAAATGCCTCTTTTTACAGTAATCATCCATCGTTTGTAAGCTTGAGCTCAAAGTATCCAAATGAGTTTTCATCAATTGATAATTGGTTAACAGTGTCTGTATCCACACATTCTATAGTCTCAGTAAAATTAAAAGATGACCTTGTTAAGGATATGTATAAAGAATTTGTATGGTCTGGATTTCTTTGGGTTATTGCTCTTTCAACTGTGTGTTCTACAAGAGTTCAGTGTTACTATAGAACAATTAGTTCTCTCCTAAAATATAAAATTATGCTTGATCTTAATATTGAACCTCGATTCTATTTTCATCATCAGATATTGTTAATTTGTTGCTTTGATTTGAGGGAATAAACCCTCCATGTCCATATAAACACCAATCATTATGTGTCTCTTGTTTTCATTCCAGATAAGAAATGTTTAAAATGTAAAATCTGTAAAAAAGTTAATTTTACCAATCAATCAACAATTCATATGTTTGCAGAAAAATATAATATGAATGATGTATCATCTATATCTACCATTAATGATAAAACTGTTTCATGTACTCTTGTCAACAAAAAGCGTATTTCTTCCTCATAAAAATATTGTTTGCGATTGTTTTATTGATTCAAAATCATTTTATCGAAATAATACATTATCTTCAAATGAAAATAGTTCTAAAACTAAAGACAAAAGCATCTTATTCACTAAAAATTTGTGAGCAGAGTCTCGCTTAAAAGAAATTGTCAAGTGAACCCTGTAGTGAATATGATATTGCATGTTTTCGTTCGAAGGCTTCTACTTTTAAAAATTTATAAACTTAAAATTTGATCAAAAATGTTTTTTTCTTGGTGAAAGTTATTCTTTTACAAAAACAAATGGGCGAACTTTCAAACTTTTATGGTTAAAAAAATATTCATGGCTTAGATATTCACCTTCTGAAGATGGAGCATTATGTTTGTGTTGCATTTCGTTTGGATATAATTACCCTTCAAAAGCTTTTAGATTTAAAAAATTTGTATTCTCTGCAATTCAAATTCTGGCCAGAAGTCGTGAGCACCTTTTATAGACATTATCATTATAAAAAAAGAAATATTTATGAACATCACTCAGCAGAAATATATATGAACATCATCACGCAGTACAAATTCTATCTGGACCATATTTTCCGCAGTTTTAAATAATGTGAATGGAAGTATTCAAAATATAGATATTTTAATAAAGAATATGAAAAGGAGATTGCTTTAAATCGTGAGAAGTTGCGTCCAATTGTTGACTCAATCATTTTCTTAGGCCGGCCTAATATAGCTTTCAGAGGTCATTGTGATGGTTATTGGCAAATATTCTTTAGTGGGTGGAGTAGGTAAGTTTATTGAACTTTTAAACTACAGAATGAGAGGTAGGGATAAAGTTCTTGAATTTCATCTTAACACCTGTGCAAAGAGTGCATCTTATATTTCTAATTCTACACAGAGTGAATTAATAAGTTGTTGTGGAAAGCACATCCAGAATATTTTGGTTTCTGAAATAAAACAAAATCAATTTTTTTAGTTATTGCTGATGAAGCTTCTGATTGCTACAATCAGGAACAATTGTCTTTAGTAATTAGATTTAAAGACTTATTCCTATAATGTTAGGGAAGAATTAGTCTCATGATGTTAGGGAAAAACTGATGGTTTTTTTACATTGTGAATTAAATACTGAATAAAGGTTTGTATATACACTGTATATACAAACCTTT